CCACTTGCTTTTATTCCCCTCCTTCCATGTCATCTTAATTTTTATTTCTTATTTATCTCTTTCATTACGCTTCAATTTAATTTAATTTAATTCCTTTACTTATTTTATTTCTTATTTATCTCTTTCATTACGCTTCAATTTAATTTAATTTAATTCCTTTACTTAGAATTGCGTCTACTTGTGTGTATCGTGAAAAATTACAGAAGCAATCGAGAATCACGCGAATCACGGAATCACAGCAAATCGTATTGGGTCTTTGCTGATTTTTCCTTCGCGAATCTACCCTTGTCTTCCTTCGCCACTTGCTTTTATTCCCCTCCTTCCATGTCATCTTAATTTTTATTTCTTATTTATCTCTTTCATTACGCTTCAATTTAATTTAATTTAATTCCTTTACTTAGAATTGCGTCTACTTGTGTGTATCGTGAAAAATTACAGAAGCAATCGAGAATCACGCGAATCATGGAATCACGGCAAATCGCATTGGGTCTTTGCTAATTTTTCCTTCGCGAATCTACGCTTGTCTTCGTTCTCCACTTGCTTTTATTCCCCTCCTTCCATGTCATCTTAATTTTTATTTCTTATTTATCGCTTTCATTACGCTTCAATTTAATTTAATTTAATTCCTTTACTTAGAATTGCGTCGATTTGTGTATATCGTGAAAAATTACAGAAGCAATCGAGAATCACGCGAATCATGGAATCACGGCAAATCACATTGGGTCTTTGCTGATTTTTCCTTCGCGAATCTACCCTTGTCTTCGTTCTCCACTTGCTTTTATTCCCCTTCTTCATTCTTATTTCTTATTTCTTATTTCTTATTTATCTCTTTTATTACGTTTGAATTTAATTTCATTTAATTCCTTTACTTAGATTGCATCGACTTATGTGTATCGTGAAAAATTACAGAAGCAATCCTGTACTTTATTAACCCTTTGATTACTGTGGGCGTTTAAAGGTCCTCAAAATTACAATTTTAAGTATACATAGTAATAATTTAATAGATAACAAATATAATATAGTGGAATATAGTGTGTTGATTATTATTTGAATACATAATAATTTCTCAGAAATCATCGTTTTTGGTATACATCACAAATGAATTCGTACTTTATGGTACAACTGGTGCGTTTCAAAGTCTGCTTTAACCAAAGGGTTAATTTCTCTAGTAGAAGTAGTATAATTTTTCACGAATCTCTATAGATAGATAGATCTTTATTGCTTTCTTATTGGTTCTGCCTCTTCTCATTCTCCACAAATATTGCTTACCTCTTTATAACTAATCGTTAATCCTGATTAATATTAATCATATAATAATCTCTACTATTGACTCTTTCAACTTATTCTAACTATGCAATTATTTAACTAATTTACTTACATTATATAAAATATAACATAACCATTAGAACAACGATACAATATAAAACGATATAACACAGCCTATGTGGTAATGGTTACATAGATTTTTAAATATATATTCATTGGAATGAGTGGAACAAGTATGCATGGAATGGAAATATCTAATAAATTCAGATTATTATGATAAATGAGTATGCGTGTAATGATTGAGATGTTGTGTGAATTGTGTATGTTATACGTTGTGTATGTATGATTTGTTATGGAAATATCTAATAAATTCAGATTATTATGATAAATGAGTATGCGTGTAATGATTGAGATGTGTGAATTGTGTATGTTATACGTTGTGTATGTATGATTTGGCATATGTTAGTTACTAACAATAACATGCTCTTATTTACACAACTAAACCATATCTTATCCCACCCCATCTTTGGTTTTTCCTTTGTACCATTATTTCCCTTTTTCCTTTCTATGCACTGCTTGTCCCTTACCACCCTGTTCCACCCTGTTTCTTCGTCCTCTTCTACATTCCCCTCTCAATCTGCGTGTCCTCCTGTTTATCTTCTTCCTCCCCCAGACAACATTCAGAACTCCGTTCCCTCGTTCCTATATCTCCTCCCATAAATCTCTATATATTATATTTTCTGTGTCCTGTATCAGCTGATTGCACATCAAAATTGTCACTACTGCTTTTTAAATTTTTCGCGATTTTTGTTCAACGATACACGTGGTTCAATCTCGATTTTTCGTGTTTAAATCCGCGAATGATTTGTACGAATTTGTATATTATAATTTCGATATCTGGATTGCAATCTATTAATCGTCTCTCCGGTAATTTGGGTAAATTGTCACGTTTGGGGCGAGACTGATAAATGTACTACTATCGATGAATAGGCGTATGTGTTAATTGTGGGTTATAAACCCGCTGATAATGACAGTTTATTATTAATCACTATCGTCCCCGGACGATGCCGACGTGACAGCGAATATGTTAATTGATTGTCACATATAATGCACGATACACGTGTAATGTAATGTAATTTTAACGAATTGTGGAATCACGTCGATTTATGGGTGGAAGGTGGACGATCGTGTTTATCACGAAGGTGAAAAGATGAAGGGTTTGGCGAACCTTGACCGCAATCTTGAGAATTCGTAAACGAGCGTGGTCGGACGTGGAACCAGTTTGTCGGGAAGTGAAATTATGTCAGCAAGTAAGGTAAACCTGCGAGTAACATTGAACGAACTCGTTCCGAAAATTTGTTCCAGTTACCGGGGATCGGAGAGTAAGATCTTTCGGGTGGTTTTTCTCGAAGATGCAAGTCGATATTACGAAACGAACACTTGTTCAAGGCAAGACTGCGAGGTATCGAATGGCTCGAGGTCAAGGCTATTTGCATCGTTTAAAATAATTATTCCATTAGTTACCACTCGAATACATCTCGAAGCTCGCAGACTCTTACTCGAGTTTTAATTTCAAATTATTACTTTTGCCCTCGACCCTCACCCTCCATCGATTGCCACTCGACTCACAATCAGTATGAAATTTCATCGAAACACGTTTCACTCTTTTCTAACCACTTTACGATATTTCGTCGTAGAAATTAAAATTGAAATCAGGAAGAATTAGAAAATAAAATTCGAAAGAAATTGAAGATAAAATTAGAAACAAATTAACCCTTTGCACTCGAGAGACGTCCTTTAGTCGCCATTTGATAAAATTTCGAAGCTCGATATTAAATAATATATCAAATTTAAAATAACGTAACAGTATAACAATTAAAGGTATAGAAATTAAATAACTCTGCCTGTTAATTATTATACGATTTCATATTTACTGTTGAAAAAATATCATCGGCTTTATAGCAGAAAATTGTTCATCTCCTTACCCGTACCCTTCTTTGGCCAAAAATTCGTCGAGTTAAAAATAAATAAAAATAAAAATAAAATTAAAAAGAAATTAAAAAGGGAGTCAGTTCTTTTACATTTTTCAATTATTATAAGAAGATATAGGGAAATTATCAGGGTAATAAGTTTCTTTGCAATATCGACAGCTTCGTGACTAATTAATTATTTGCACTGACCTATGCAATCTTGTCTGGCACGGACAATTATTTAACGAAATCCAATTATTCAACGAAACGTCTTCCTTCGTTTTTCTTCGTTCCTCTTCCCATTTAACTCGAAGCACGGTTCATGGGGAGAGCAGATGCAGGATTATACCCGGCGTATAAAAGTTCATCGATTATCCGTTTTCCCGATGCTAAGGTGAGGCAGATGTTCGACGAAAGACGGCAAACGACCGTGAAGGGCATAGACAGGAGCTACCCACTGGAGCCGCTGGAGAACAAACCGCGGAAGCAGTCGAACGGAAACGGCGTGCAGAAGAACGGAAATTTGACGGTGAACCGACAGTCCGTGACTGTGAAGCGGGTAGCCCGGGCTGACGTGAACAGCAATTTGAACGGTGGCAAACCGGTCGTCTCGTATCACGAGGAAATCACTCGAGAATCGTTCGGGCCCTCTGCGCGCCAGCAAGAGGACGACGAGTTCGGGAACGAGAACCACGTCGCGCGATATGCGAATGGGAACCATCCAGACGAGGTAACGCGCCATTGCGATTTTTCGCGAGTGAATTTTTATGCGGTAGCTCCCCCCGCTGTCCCATTACAGCGCGCAAGTGGGCACCGTGCAAAAATACCTCGAAAGGATATACGATTTTTGCGATATTTATATATTCGAATTAACATATCCTTCTTAACTCTTTGCGGCACAGGATTTCGGATTATAAAATATTCCCGTGGTGCAGACAAATTTTATTGCGTTTTAAGTGGAACGAAATTGGTGTAGAACTAATTTTTATAAAAGTTAACTTTCTTTTACAATTTTTCACGTAAAACCAGCAATAAATTTTGCTGCGATGAAATATAAATCTATACGTGTGCAGCTATTGCAATATTTCGAGGTGGGACCAAAAATGTCACACCGTGCATTACGGTATATTAAAAAAGTGGGGTACTTTTAATTCTACCGTGCCCCAAAGAGTTAACGCGTTGACTGCCATAGTGGTCATCAGCGACCAACGTTTGTCTCCTCTGTGGCGCCATGGTGGTCACAAATGCCTGGCGATACTAATTTTTTTAATTTATATTTGTTTTATTCGATTTTAGAAAATTGGAACAACGTAAATAAATAGAGAACTTTGAATAGAAGACATTAATAATTTCCACCATTTTTCTTTCTTTACTATATTATTCGATAATTCATCATTATATCCTAAGAATAATGGAAATTTGTATTTTTGCTTTTCCCAAAATTTATGTAATTTCACTAAAATGGAAGGAAAAATTTATTTAACGCAATTTTTATTGCAATGTTTCAATTGCATTCTGACAGACACACATCGAAGAAGTGTTGGACGACGACATGATAGAAAGGAACCGCATGATGGCGAAGCTTCATCTGATGGAGTACGACGAGACGTTGAAGCACCGTGTTAAAAACGACCTGGAGAGCGAGGAATTCCCGGAGGACTTCATGGTGGATGTTCCTGACAAGCTTCCAAAACAAAGTGTTACCAAGAAGTTATCTCAAGCGGAGGCCAGGCTGGAACGCTTTAAAAACGCGAACGCGAAGCGTGGTAACAGCGTTACGAAGAACACAACTATCGCCTCGAAGAAACGATCCGACCCGATATTTCCGGCAAAGTCTAGTTGCAGGTACGTGCAGATAAAACGAGCACCGAGACAAAATACCGTAAATCGTTGCACAAATGATACACGTGTCGAAGCTCGAACTCGCCGAGCTTCTCATTCGACGTCCAACTAGAACGAGAGCGACGTATTTTCTTAATTGAACGATCAACCATAACTCGTATTAAATCCTCGAGGCACGACTGACAGAGTTAAATTTAAATTGACTAGTAATTGAAATCGCTATAATTCTTCTTCATTTCCACATCAATATTTCATAACTCGATAAATATTATTTATTATTTCCCTTTGGCCCCGTGAATAAATTTTAATTCTCTTTGCCGCGTTTAACTGGTCAAGCCCTCCTTTCAGAAAGTCATTAAAATCGTAATTTTATTCTCGATTAAAATTTCGCAGAACCTTTCACCTAAATAACCACCATCCTGACTTTTAACGCGTTATTTTCACCACCATTCCACGCAATCTACTTCAATTATAAATTTCAAAGTAACATCTAACAGGTTCCCACGCCCAACTTTCTTCACATACACCGCTCTCGTTCGCGCCAAAAAAGAACGATCATTAAATTATTCCAAGCGGATCTCGTTGAAAGCCAGTTACTCGTTTGCGCAACTATCGTCCTCCACGCGTGTAGAAAATTGTGGAAAAATCATACACAAGGGAGCATCTAAGTGCCTGAAAGCGCAAGTAGATGATGTTTCCCGATAATCGACTTGGAACCTTGTCAAATGCGTATTCTCCGGCCGCTAATTGGCAATCAGTTGCTAACAATCCGTCGCTGCTTTCGTCCTCCGTCCCTCCACGACCCCTCGCCGATTAATTTCTCGTTGCATAATTGCGATCGCTGACTAGGCTCGACTCGTTTAAACCCACGCAACCGTAGTAGCCTAACAATGCTCCCTGGACGTGATCACCCTTGAAAGAGCAACTAAATGACGCGTTTCCGGCAAGGTAGAGGCGCAGCGTCTCCGGTTTGTCACAAGAAGGAAGATGCCCGCTCTAATTTATATGTCCGCCTAACATTAAAGCTACCGGGCGAAAGGATAATCAGCCGAAGGACATTAAACGCTCGATCATCGGCATAACTAGCCCCACTCGCCGAGCATGAAGCCATCGGCGGGGAACGTGGATAAAGAAAGCAAAAAGTCCCGTAATACTATTAATCATGCGATATCATAGCCACGTACCATTCATGCCTCTTTCCAATGGATCGAACATCCACGATATTCGACGTTCTTCGTGGCTTCTCGTCGAGCTTTCCTGCGTAACCGATTCTCCTAACAAAGCGTCGATTAGTTCAGTCGAGATGGACAGCTGGAAGGAGAGATAAGCTGATCCTAGCTTTGTTCTGCTGCGAGGGATCACGCGAAACCGTGTCTTCCCGACTCATTTCCCGCCTGCTATCTCTTTGTGTTGGCTAACCTCAATCGCGCAGCAGGATTAACACGAGATAACCAGCGAAATTAGCGAGTTGCGTATGAGAGAGGAGGGGTAAGAAGGATTTCCGAAGCTTGTAACGCGCGAGGCAAGGAGAAAATGTTATATCGATTGTATTCGTAGCCAGGACAGAGTGGCCAAGACCAGGACCCGTGAGGTTTCCGACAGAGGATCGAGGAAAGGAGACAAAAGTCCAGGAAGTAGCAGACCAAGAGCAGGGACTGTTGCCTCTGAGACTGTGCAAGCGATATCGGACTCTGAGAGGAGCGCGAGTCGAACGGACGGTTCTCCACGGTTCTTCTGCAAGGAGTCGGAGAAGTCTGCCACGACTTATGCTACCGATTCCAAAACTCGGACGAAATTATCGAACGAGTTAAGAGGAAGAACACGACGCAGTGAAAGTCCGAAGCTTTCTCGCGGAGAGTCTGAAAAGTCTATACATGCAGTTGATCCGAAGACTGCGGGAAAATTTTCGCCTGACTCGGTTAGAGATGAGACAGGAAGAAGTAACAGATTCTTTTGCAAGGAGTCTGAGAAGTCTGCTACTACGTATGCAGTTGATTCCAGGACTGATAGAAGATTGTCTTCCGAAGCTTTGACAGATGTCAAAAGACGAAGCGATAGTCCAAAATCGTTTACTGAAGAGTCTGGAAAATCGACTACCACTCGAAAGATTGATTCGAAGACTGCAAAGACATCGACTCGAGAAATTTCGAATGATAGGAAGGACGTTAGACGACGAAGTAAGAGTCCGAAATTTTTCAGCGAGAGGCCTGAAGAATCAGGTACTATATACGCGACTGATTCGAAGACTCCACAGAGATTAACCCGTCAGAATTCCAAGGATATAACAGATTTTAAACGTAGAAGCGAGAGTCCAAAATTCTTTTGCAAGGAATCTGAGAAATCAGCTACCACGTATGCGATTGATTCGAAGATCGAATCAGAGTTGGACAAGTCAACTCGAGAAGTTTCGAAAACTGTGAAAGATGTCAAACGACGAAGCGAGAGTCCAAAATACGCGATCGATTCGAAGGACATAACAGATTTTAAACGTAGAAGCGAGAGTCCAAAATTCTTCTGCAAGGAATCTGAGAAATCAGCTACCACGTATGCGATTGATTCCAAGATCGAATCAGAGTTGGACAAGTCAACTCGAGAAGTTTCGAAGATTGTGAAAGATGTCAAACGACGAAGCGAGAGTCCAAAATACGCGATCGATTCGAAGACCCCACAGAGATTAACCCGTCAGAATTCGAAACATATAACAGATTTTAAACGTAGAAGCGAGAGTCCAAAATTCTTCTACAAGGAATCCGAAAAATCAGCTACCACGTATGCGATTGATTCGAAGATCGAATCAGAGTTGGACAAGTCAACTCGAGAAGTTTCGAAGACTGTGAAAGATGTCAAACGACGAAGCGAGAGTCCAAAATACGCGATCGATTCGAAGGACATAACAGATTTTAAACGTAGAAGCGAGAGTCCAAAATTCTTCTTCAAGGAATCTGAGAAATCAGCTACCACGTATGCGATTGATTCTAAGATCGAATCAGAGTTGGACAAGTCAACTCGAGAAGTTTCGAAGATTGTGAAAGATGTCAAACGACGAAGCGAGAGTCCAAAATACGCGATCGATTCGAAGACCCCACAGAGATTAACCCGTCAGAATTCGAAACATATAACAGATTTTAAACGTAGAAGCGAGAGTCCAAAATTCTTCTGCAAGGAATCCGAAAAATCAGCTACCACGTATGCGATTGATTCAGAAACCGGTGAGAAATTCTCCCCCGATTTCTCCAAGGCCCGGAAACCACGTAGTAGTACCCCTAAATTCCTTTGCGAAGGATCCGAAAAGTCAGAAAACACTTATATAATAGACTCGAGAAGTCACTCGACGTCGCCTGATTATATGAAGAACACGGCGAGTTCTGTATTAAAAATCGAACCCAGAAACAGGAAAAATATCATAGAGCAAACACTAAAGGACTCTGTGAACGATACAGTGAATAGACACATAGAGACTGTCAAATCTTCCTCTCCTGAGAGTCTAGAATACGACGTGGGAAGTTACGCGAAACCTGAAACTCAACGGGAATCCAAGTCTACGATGAGCAAATCGACCAATGTCTTCGAACGTCTGACGAGGGAACGTAGCTCCAGTCCTCGATTCCTCTGCGAGGGTACGAAGTCAGCCACCACGATGAGCTTTGACAGCAGAGACACCTCTAAATCTCCAAGTTTCGTGCAGAAAAGTATGAAGAAACGCAGTGACAGTTCAAAAATTCATTCTACTTCTGGGAAGCACCAAGTTCCCGCCCTGTCTACTGCCAAATCGAGATCACCAGATTTCGCGAAATCCTTCAGAAAATCCAACACCAGTCCGCAGTTCTTCCCTTCGTATTCGGCTGACAGGTCCGCTACCATCATGATGGTGACACCAGAAACGATCTCGAAATCGAAAACACAGTCTGTGAAACCCAACAGAAGGGAACAGGGTCCTGTATCCAGCTTTTCTAACGCGATTACGGAACCATGGGAGACATCGACTGTAGAGAGCAACGACGCAAGTTCGAGACACTTCATCCGGAGTTCCGTATCGCGATTTTTCTCCGAGCAATGCGAAAAAGCCCTGAGAAACCTCGATACGGGAAATCACGTTCGCTCGAAACCTGTCAAGAAGCATCATCCGACCCGTAGCTCATCCCCGCTGTCGCTAAAAGACATGAGAACGCCGAGTCCAACTGACAGATCACGATCTTACCACGAACGAGACACGAAAACTGACAGATCGAGCATTGACAGGGGGAGCAGTCGCGAGTCATCGCCAAGATCACGCAAATTGGCAGACAGTAGGGAAGGAACCCCGGAATTCTTCAGTTACGGAAGCGAGAAATCAACTATGACAGTCAAAGAACGGTCAATCAATGAGCAGTCTAGCAGCAAAGCCATCGCGAAGGAACCACTCAAGAATTCAAGATCTATTACTCAAAAAGCATCACCAAAGTCAAGAAGTCCAACTAATGGTCTCAAGATTAGGCTATCCAAGAGTCCTGACAGCCAGTCCACTGTCAAAAGTGCCATTACCTCGAACCGTAGAGGCTCTGGCAACGTGCTGCGTTCGACGAAGCTGATCCGTGACGCCATGAGGTGTCAGAGTGACAGGAATCAGGTCGACTGTGCCCCGGAAAGGCAGGCTAAAGGATCTCTGACTATCTCTGGCAAGTCTATGGACACGGATGGAATATCGGACGAGTGGAAACTGGCTGAGCGATCGAGAGACGAGGTGGATAGAAAAGTTGACGAAAGAGCTGGGTCGCCTGCTGCTGGCGAACTTGCTGTCACGGAACCGAGTGGGAAAAGTTGCGCGGAGGTGGACACGGGGATTGAAGAAATCACGATGCCCGATCGATACATAAAACAGGAGCAGTCCCGGGGCACTTACTCGAGATCGAGCAATAAGACATCGGCAGGCGGTGAGAAATCGAGCGTCGAGAAACTGTTCACGTATTCCGTGCACGGACCAGTCAAGCAGAGAGGATCGCTGTTCGAGTCGAGCGTTTTCGAGCGATCGCTGGAGGATCGGACGGATGGAGGAGCTTGCGATTCAGACGAAGAGGAGCGGATTAGTCCGAGACATGCAGCTAGAAACTCGTCGAGCAGACTTTGCTCTGGAAAGGAAGCTGTCGTTCGTGGCTCAAAACGTCGAGCAGAGGATGTAGCGAGGGAAAAGAGTGTAGAAAATATCTCGAGATGCAGAGGAGGAACTGGTTCGAGGAAGATGAGCTCTAGAGGAACGATCGTCGGTAAGTCCAGCAAAGAAAGACGCGATATTTCCAAGCTTACGCGAAGTACCGTCGATCAGTCGGCCATTCGTGCCTCGAAACGAACGAAGGCGAATATCGCGGACACCGGAAGCGCTGTCACTGTCAAGATTTCGAAAACTCGAGACCACTCGACGAGTCCTCTGCCAAGAGCGAGAAAAGCTAGCCTAAAAGGAACCGTCTCGAACGAAACGAAGAAACGCAGACCACCTTCGCCTGCAAACATTCCGAAATCGATGGAACTAGTTCGTCGAGCCATGACAGGATCCAACTTGGCAGAGGCTAGAACGCAGCGCAAAATGGCCACCGAGGTAACCTCCGGTGTGGTTAAACAGGAGCAGATTGAAATCACGAGGAGCAGTTCCACGTCGTCGACCATGATCGAGATCAGGGAATCAGGATCCGGCGAGGTTTCTATAAAAGAAGGAACATCATCTGGCAGGAATTACGAAAGAACGGACTCGGTGGAATCCGCTCTGAGACGCTTCGATTCCATCGGAACGGAAGCCGGCTCGGAGTCGGTGCATGGCAGCCTGGACCGAGGCGAGGAATCGATAACGTGGAAAAGACAAACGGAATCGGGTAAAACCGAGGGCTCCGGGGATGATACAAAGACGATTTCCTTGAAAGCACTCGATCGACCGGATGTAAATCTTTCCCGAGGCCACGGGAGCAAACCATCGAAGACGCCTTCGAGGAAAGCTGCGACCGCGCCGCGCGCGCCATCTGCCGAGGGAAGAGTGGTCGGAAAGTTGACACGTTGCGAGAAGAAATTCGCTAAAGCCAGGGACTCGATAGAGATTGCTCGGATCGTCGTGAGATCGAAATCGCCGGCTTGCAGGGGGATGCTCTTCAAGGACGCTGATTCCGGCGAGGAGACCGAGACTGAGAGTTGGAGATCGAGGTGTAGACTCGGTACCACGATGTCGGATGAAAAGCAGACTGGAGAACCGGGGAATAACGCGTCGAGGCGTTTCGAATCCGGAATTGATGACGAGGTGTCTATCGACGTCATAGAGAAAGGGAAAATGGACGACACGTCAACAGGTGCGGATCGTTGCCTGTCCGTGAAGCAGCTGAGATCGATCGAGGATATTCGTAAGTCGATCGTGGGGGAAAGTTGGGATCGTAAAGCAACGGGCACGTCGAGGAAGTCGGTGATCGCGCGCAACGCGCGGAGAGGTTCTAGCGCGGCGGAAGTGACGGAAGCGGCGTCGGCACGATCGGAGCCTCGACGAATAAATATCGATGATCGTGCTGGAAATAGAAAAGAGATATCTTTGCCGAGGCGGTCGGGGAACGTTGATGCGAGGAAGGACGCTTTAGGGAATACGGCCCGTTCGTCTGTAAAGTGCGCGATGCGTTTCTCCAGGGTGGCGAAAAGTCCGAGCCCAGAGACGACGAAGGCGACGGAAACGAGCAGCCGTGCGAGAAGGAACGTCCCAGCGTCGCCGTCGAAAAGTCCGGACACGGTGGCTAGGGTAAGCAAGGATTGTGTGTGTAAAGGATCGTCCTTTTCTTTTTAGCCTGGAAATAGCACTTTTCCAGCTTCCACAGGACGCCCCGGCTTACGTAAAGTATATTTTCTTGGAAATTGTCGAAGATAGTGGTAAAATTCATTTAGCGGGGTTGAAGTTTCGAGAACAGGGCTTGGCTTATGTAAAGCGTACTTTCTCCGAAATTATCGAGGAGAATCGTTTAAGAGTGGCTTCGCGTTAGAATTTTAGAATTTTCATCGGAGGGAAGTTTTATCTCTGCAGTGAAACTTCGCGAAATTCGTTTTCGGTACTTGGACGGAATTTGACAATTGTTTATCTTTGTTATTCGTATCAATTGATCCTTTCTGACGATTGAGAACAATTGCATCTAATTTGTTAGGATAATTATTATCTAGTAGAATATTTTCTCCTATTTATTCATTTCCACATAAAATTGTTTAAAGTGAGATAAAGTAAAGATAAGTTAATTTAATTTACAAAATTCCAGTTGACACGTCTTTGTAAGTACTTTCTCAAATATAATAGTCATTTCGTTGCCATATCTTATACCATACGATCCGATTACAAACATTGCCCCGATTCGGAAATCTTGCTAGGCAGCGAGAAATACGATTATTTCCATCGATCTCGTTAAAGCGTAAGAAAATATGTCGATCATTGGACGCGCGAGTGTTTCAAATGAACGCGTTTCTATTATAGCGTCCGTCCACCGAGTTGAAAGCTCAAGACACAAAATCGACGAAACGGCCAACGCCTATGAAAGGCACGGAGCCAATTGGAAACAGGAAGACGACAACGACGACGACGATGACGACGACGACGACGACAGCGGCGACGACGAGCACGAGTACGAGAAAATCGACGGATGTCGTCGATGGCGCTATTCTCGAGAATGGTCTGCATTTACGAGACCAAACTGCCGAAACGAAATACGATAACGACTCGCCTACGACGAAGAAAAGCGACGCTTTTGTCATCGACTTCGACGAGCAACCGCCGAAGGAAAACGATGCGCCACTTCCGCGGAAACCGCTCTATCGAAAACAATCCACCGAAGTGAGTAGCCTTTGATCAGATAAATAAGAAACGGCCACTCGATAAAGCACAGACAAAGATGTTCGTTACGTCGAGGTATTTTAAATGCCTGCAATTCAACACGCTCCAGACTGCAGTATTATTCCAAGATCCTATCCGGAAATTGAATAGAGTAGTAGTTTTCGTAATTGGCTGTTGCGGAGTTCCCTCGCGTCGTTGAGATAAGGAATTTTTCGGAACGAAGGCTGATTGCTTTGCGAAAAGAATTTTGTTAGTGTAGAATTTAAATTGGAATGGAAATACTAGGATGGAAATAACTATAAATAATAAGAGAGTACGATTCTCCTAATTGTTCTCAGAGAACTAACTGATAACGCAAGCCTTCGTACGTGACCTACATGCAAAATCCTCAGCTACACGAATGAGACAAACGACTTACCTATATATGTACAGATATGCTGGATCATTAATCTTGAATGTGTTAAAATATTTCTTGATGAATCTTCGACGGTAGTAAATTATCTCGTTTCGTTATCTCGTACTCTCGTTGTCAATTGTGCCTGGAATTAAAATTATATTCTAATTATAGTAGAATTTTTATATTAAAATATATTTGAGAAGGAAAAAGAAGAAAATATTCCATTCGAATAAAATAATATCTTACTTTCGATTCCTCGATAGTGCCAGGTGATATCCACGAAGAAACAATTTCACTTGCACGTTCATTATATTACCTAAAATTATATTTTAATTACAGTAGAATTTTTATATTAAAAGATATTTGAAAAGGGAAGAGAAGGAAATATTCCATTCGAATAAAATAATATCTTACTTTCGATTCCTCGATAGTGCCAGGTGATATCCACGAAGAAACAATTTCACTTGCACGTTCATTATATTACCTAAAATTATATTTTAATTACAGTAGAATTTTTATATTAAAATATATTTGATAAGGGAAGAGAAGGAAATATTCCATTCGAATAAAATAACATCTTACTTTCGATTGCTCGATAGTGCCAGGTAATATCCACGAAGGAACAATTTCACTTGTACGCCCATTATATTACCTATGAACACAAGCTGCCCATAAATTCCGCCATGTTGCAATCGAACATCGAACGCAATTTTTCCGGGACGAATTGAAGTTAGGTGTATGAAATCTAAGTAAAGAGGTTTATGTAAAAATGTCTGCTGCCGTTTGATACTATTTTACCCGGGAAATTCAGGTTTCGTTGCACATGGATTCTTCACTTTCCGGTTTCTAATCGGTCGAAACGTTGGCGAGAAAAATTTCTTAGTTACAGTGCTAGGTATCCGTAGCAAAATTAAACAGTGACATTGACAGGTACTTCACGCTAGCCTTATATTCGGTGAATTTCTTATTATTTCCGATTCTTCTTGTTTCTAACCAGAATTAATCATGTGACATTTATTCCTATTAGAAACAAATTCCTTCCACGCAATCTGTTCGACCCCCTTCGTCAGTTTCGTCCACCTCTAGCGCCAGCTCCGTGCAGGGTCAGGTATCCGGTAGCAGAGGCAAAATGGCTTCCAGAGCAAAGACGCCAATTTCCGGTTCTACGCCGTACAAAGGATCAGCTGGTAGCAAAAGCGGCGGAGGAGCAGCAGCGGTGTAAGAATTTTTAGAGTAACTCCTTTTCCTGTTGAGGTATTTAATAATCTCTGTTTGTAGATATTTCAGGTATTTATAATTATTTTTTAAAAATTTTTGTACATTTCCTTCGATGATAGAATACAAATACTTACTGTCTAGAATTTTGAACGAAAGTCAATTCGAATATATCATTACAGGGAGAGTCTGGTTGCTTGCAAAGTATGCGGTCGTCGTTTCGCCCAGGACCGTGTGAGTCTGCACGAGCAAATTTGTGCAAAGACAGGTCAGAAGAAGAGGAAACAATTCGATGCGATGATATATCGTGTAAGAGGTACCGATATTGAGCCATTCTTCAAAAAAGGGCTCGTTAAAAAACAGCTTGAGGTCAGTAGCTCTTACTCCGATCCTGGCATCCCTTGTCCTTTTCCGATCCTCTATAACTCCACTTTCAACTTATTCTGACTGTATAATGCTTCCTAAAAAATTGCAAGAAATTAGCAAATACGTGGAAAATTGTTAAACAGTTACCCTGATTTTGATTACCCTTGATATTGATGGATATCGATAGCTCTGAAAGGAAGGGACGGTTGCTGTTTTGCATGTTTCAGAAATCAAAGAAGCCGGAGGTGAAGTCGAACTGGCGGCGCAAACACGAGGATTTCATTAACGCCATACGCTCGGCCAAGCAAGTGCAAGCACACCTGGCCGCAGGAGGCAAGCTCAGCGATTTGCCACCGCCGCCGGTTAGCGATAACTGCGATTACATTCAGTGTCCCCATTGCGGAAGAAAATTCAATAAGGCCGCCGCCGAGCGTCACATTCCCAAATGCGAGCACATGTTGCACAATAAGCCGATACACTCACGAGCGCCGAAACCGAGGCGTTAATTCTCTGGGGCGAACCAAACGATTCTTTTCTACGCCCGCATCGAACAGGGACAAGATATGGATAAAAGTGCCTTTGTTTTACGAAAGGGAGGCTTCGAATAAAAATCGAAAAAGCGAGAAAAATTTGAAATGTACGAATGAACGAAATTTTACTATAAGAAGAATATATATAGTCATGGTGAACTGTTGGAAAATAAAATTCCGATCGATGGTTTCAATAGAGCACAGTTTTAGGGAAACAGCTTGTCTCTATCTTGTTCTCGTATCGATATCGTATTATACGAACATCGCGTTGATTATGGAATTCTGAAAAAGTTGTATGCAAATAACTCGCAGGGGACTATCATTCGTCCGAAACGTGCATGAAATAAAATTGATTCTGTATTAACATCCTGACTCGAAGTCTATAAATTTTCTGCGAGTATTTGAGACAAATGTACTTTCGTATTATATTGCAATAAAACGAATTTTCACTACACACTGTATATATGTACGTAGCGAAACGAATTAAAATATTTGGTTACCGTTATTTTGGAAACATGCGGACAAAGAAATTACCAGAAATAATAATATATTTCTTTCTTTTATGTTATACGTTAAAGAGTCATGAACTAATTATCTGTTTAATAAGAATTGAGATCTATATAAATTTAATGCGAACGACTTATTAATCTACAACGCTCCGTTGTCAAAAGTTACACTACACTGGACGCTTACTTTATACGTATTTGTATCTTTTTATACCATAATACTAGTGAAACGTTATATGGCTATTAGTAACACTGTAATCGATTTCCATGAAACGTATGGCCTTCATATAATAACCGTATGTAATTAGTAAAAGTCGTTTAGAGTTGAAGAATTAATAATTAGTAAAAAGAGTTTTGATTAATATTAAAAATATTGTGATGTATTTTATAAGTTTTCATTGAAGTAGATCATCACACGGAACAAAGAAACATTTTTATAGCGCTTAATCTTCTTAATAAACGAGAATATTGTAACATTATTGTTATGATGAATTATTGGGATCTAATAAACTAACTTTTTAGTAAAAGTGGTAATAAAGCAAATTTGATAAATTTGCATTTTTTAAATTATATCGAATACCCGTGAATTTAAAATATTACGAAAAACTCCAGATAATAGTATACGATTTGAGAATAAAAATTTATAGTGGATTTTGTATGAAATACTAGAAAATATTAAGTCTGGAATGTTGGCAATGAATGTGCATGCGTGATTTAGTCGGGATCCATCAGCAGACGACGTGATATTCCCGGTGGGAAGAAACATTTAAAAATTCACCTGTGTCCGTTAACTTAACATGATTAAATCGTGTAATCTTAAAATGTTTACAAGTATATTTCACGTATAAAAAAGAATTATGGATCATTTAATTATCATAGTGGCTGTAGTACATTTATTGTACTGTCCATTCACAAAAGTGGAAGAAAGTTTTAATTTGCAGGCCATGCACGACATCTTATACCATGGTTTTAACCTATCGGAGGTAATTATTACGGTGTTTATTAAATGTATATCATATAAATATAAATGTTTAAAAATTTAGTCAATAGAGACAAGCTTCGTGAGAATATTTATCTTTCTTGACAGGTTGCTGACACGCAATCAAAGAGATATTACGCAAAAACTTAGATATTATATTTAGAAGCAGATGCATGTATTTATAAACTTACGATCAGCTGATATAGTTTCTGCACGATTTAAGAGTTTACTGATATATTAATTTCAATTTTCATTGCTATAAAAATATCATTTTTATTAAAGTAATAAGAGAATTTCCTAAATTATATTTGTTACTAATATAGTATAATTATTTAAACAAAAATGCAATCTAATTATTTAGAATGTTTGTATAAAAATATATTATATATTTATCAAAAGAAAAAGAAAATTAATTTAAATAATAATCACTTGTAACATATTCTTGTATTTTACAATAGTATGATCACCATGAATTTCCTGGAGTTGTGCCACGGTCATTCATAGGACCAATTATAATATCAGGCTTGGCATCACCGCTAATAACAACCATTAATTATTTGCAACTTAATAAATTTTTTGCTCAATATGTTGGTAAGTTGTAATAAGATGTATTTTTTGTTACTAATTTGAATCGAAATAACAAAACACTTTTTTAATTTATAAAGTATATATCACACTAAAAACAAAAAAGTAATCAATCTCGTGTCTTTTCAGTAAGAGCAACATTGGGCTTATTAATAATAGGTGCATTAAAGCTATACAGAGATGCTTTACAAAGCATCTTTGGTTTGCAATTTACAAAATGGTTTGTTGCAATTACTGTAACCCAATATCATTTCATGTATTACTTAAGTCGTCCATTGCCAAATATAATGGCATTGCCATTAGGTGATTTAAATTTAATGTTATTATTTGTATTTCATTTACTGATTTACACATAAATTAGTAGTTGCACAGTATTTGTATATTGTAGTACTACTGGCTTTACATGGATGGTTGAAACAAAATCACATGATATTTATTTGGTCATCTGCAGCAGCAATTATAATGTTCAGAGCAGAACTTGCCATGCTATTGGGATTATTCCTTTTGTACGATATAGCCAACAAGAAACTAACCATACCAAGGTATTTACATATTATATTGCGGACCATTGATTCCTAGTATGGCTGTAACATTGCATACAGAAGTGATTAGAATCATCAAGGAACCTTCTGCAAAACTGCACTGATTTGTAAGCTTTGTTTGCTTATAAAACTTATTAACATAATGAAACCCATCTGTCAAAAATAACTAAACCAAATATAAATCCTTTTTTTGATAAACTGCAATAAAACTTGTGCTATTGTTCAGAGTAGAAAAGAAAAGTAATTACAACAAATTTTATAACGTAGGAAATATTCATCTATTAAAGCTCTGTAAATATGCTCTCAGAATAATAATTTCATAAATTTAATAATTTTTTAGACTGTTTAAAATTGCCGTTCCAGCGGGTATATTTTTTCTATTGTTAACGGTCACGATAGATTCTATATTTTGGAGACGATTATTATGGCCAGAGGGAGAAGTATTTTACTTTAACACTATCCTTAATAGGAGCAGTGAATGGGGTGTATCCTTTATTAAAATTATTACTTTTTTTTCTTTATTTTAAGCGATAAATTTTAAATACACTTGTTTGACTTAATATGAAAATAGACATCACCATTCTTATGGTATTTCTATTCAGCTCTTCCACGTGGGCTGGCTTTATCTTATCTTTTAATACCTTTGGGTATGTTATGGGATGCTCGAGTTCGGGCACTAACAGTTCCTGGTATTGTATTTATTGGATTATTCTCATTTTTACCACACAAGGAATTGAGATTTATCATATATGTATTTCCACTACTAAATGTTAGCGCTGCTGCAGTTTGTCATAGAATGTAAGTAGCTTATGTTTAATAATGCTTTTTAAGCTATTCTTAATTTTTAAGTATTTCAAACTGTGATTGTATATTTTTTCCCTTAAACTAGATGGGAAAATAGAGCAAAGAGTCCATGGAATGGATTTTTGGCACTGATCATTTTAAGCCATCTAGTTTTTAATGCTCTATTTTCTATGTTCCTTTTATGTGTTGCTGGTTCTAATTATCCTGGTGGTTTAGCTATTGCTAAATTACATAGACTTGAAAAAGATTCTCTTTACCCAGTGCATGTACACATTGATATTTTGACTGCACAAACTGGAGTTTCAAGATTTACACAAACAAATAATTCTTGGATGTAAGTTCTATGATTATTTGATATAAAGGAAGTAATTAATCTGCCTAAAATGATAATATGCCATAGATAAACCTTTTTAAACACAAATAATGTAAACTAATTTATTATTAAACTGCCTTCTAGTTATTCAAAACAAGAAAATTTGACAATCGACAGTCCTGAAATGCTTCAATTTACACACCTTTTAATGGAAGCTAAAAGCAAATATTCACCTAATATAAAACCATATCTTAAAACTCATGATATCTTGGATTCTGTGGATGGTTTTTCTCATATAGCATTAAATTATAATATATTACCACCAATAAAAATAAAAACTAGGCCAATTATATTTATCATGAAAAGAAAGCCCAATATTCAGTATGACCCCAAAAAAGCAACATTACAAACTTATTTAAAACAATCAAATGAAAGTTTTATAGAGAAAAGAATAGAGAGAAGACATATCATAAATGACACTGTAAAACACATGGAACCTATATTAGACGAAATAATGGAATCATTAGAACAATTTGAAAAACCACTAAACATTAATTATGTAAATGTATTTGATACAGAAGTACAGGATACAATAAAATTAGAGAACATAACATACGATTCTACTGAGTTCGTTGAATCATTAAGCATAGAAGAAATACCTAATATCTTAGCTAAAAATAATTTATCACATTTAGAAACATCAACAAATGAAGAAAAACTGGAGATCATACCAAAGTTAGAAGATCACGTTATGACTGAAAGCAATCTTAAATTACAGACTGATGTTGACAATGATTTCAATATTAGTGAACAAAAATTAGAATTAAAGAAAGAAGAAAACGAAAAACCAGAAGTTACTAAAGAGAGATTAAAATTTGGAAATGCTCAGCAAGATACTAGTACTCTAAAAGAAGTTGTTAAAAAAATTATTCAAGAAAAAATGGAAGCAGTTAAACATAAAAAAGATGCAATGGATGAAAAAGCATTACCAGAAATTCCACAAAAAATTAATGCTAAAATGAAAAGAATAATTCCAATAAAAACAGAGTCACCACAAAAAATAAAGATTATAACAAAGCAGGAATTGAAAGAGAAATCTGTATCGGTTCAAGAATTAAAAGAGAAATCTACAGTAATTCAAGAAGTAAAAGAAAAGCCTGCAATAATTCAAGAAATAAAAGAAAAACCCACAGAAATTCAAGAAACAACAAATGAATATAAACCAATTAACGTAAAAGAAAGCATTAGAAATATAATCAATCAATTTAAGGAATTTGAAAAAGACTTTGTACATGAAGATTTGGAAATAAATAAAAGAGAAATACATGTTGAATATAATGAACAATCTATAGAAGTAAACACAAAACCCGCAGAAGATTCCCCAAGTGTAGATATAGCGACAGAAGTTATGGGTACAAAAATAATCAAAGATGCCAAAGAAAGCTTAAAAGATATAATATATCAATTTAAACAGATAAAAAATGAATTGACTTCAGAAGAAGACGATGAGTTTGAAAAGATAGAAGCTACATATATGGAACGACCAATTGCAGAGACATTAATGCAGTTTAGTGAAGCTTTAAAAAATTTAATACAACGAAGAAAAAAAAATAAAATATTTGCTATAAACCCTTTTGAAAATAAAAGGGACATGCCTAAGCTACAAACCACAACAAAAATAACAGCAGAAGATCTTCAATTTCCAATAGAATCTTCAAAATATTCAAAGGTGCAAGATTATGATAATGATAAAAAATTATATAGTACAGAGAAAGTAGAGAAAGTTATTCAAAACATTAATTCAAAAGACAGCTCAAGCCCAGGTACAAATAAAGTTTTACAAGAAAAATATTTTATGACGCATACCAATAGTAAAAACATCCCATTAAATGCTCAAAAATCTACAAATAGTGTTTCAAATAATATAGGAAATAACTATGCTTTCAACGAAAAAAACGAAACAACACGAAAAAATGTTGGAAATAGCTCAAATGATTAAATGTTAAAACAACTTATTATTTTATGCTTTTTAATGATACAATGATGTAATTATAGTAATATGTAAATACGTTATTCTGTGATAACAAAAATGTATATCTTAATTAATGCTCGTGCATTACCAACACGGAAAAAAGAAATTTATTTTTCCTGTGTTACCATTTCATATATCAAAGAACATTGAAAAATGATAAAGTATTTGTTTAATAGATACTATCACAAAGGTATAACAATTGTAATTTTATATATATAATTATTAAAAGGAAAAATTCAAATAGTAAATTTTTAGATATAACATGAATACGTATAATAATTATTTCACATATTGTAAAAGTGTCTTAGTAATCTTTTACATGTTTGATCTGTTTGATCATACAATATCTTTTATTTCATATCAATGCATGTTTAAAAAAAAGAACATAATTTTATTATTCAACCTTGACTTTTTAAGATTTTGAGAAACTGCCTTATAATAATGGTGTCATTATTTTTTCCTTTTTGCCCTTGCATTTAGATTTTGCTTTCTTATGTTTTGTGCACTTCCTTTTATAGTTAAAACATTATAATTTATTATGTTATTTAGATGTATTTTTTCATTTATACCCTGATCAGAAAAAGTGTACTATCATTAAGAAAAATTACATTCATTTCCATATTGGTATTTGCAGAGCATTCAAGTGCCTTAAAGTCTCTTCTAAATTCTGTATATTGTAAATGATAAAAGAAAATATATGTATACATATGTAATATAATATATGTACGAATATTTTACAACAAGTAAAGATAATTTAATATCAAATACTGTAAATTAATCCCTAATATTGTCAATTAAATAATTAATAATCAAATGTACCAACTATAACTAAAAATTTTATTTAAAAATATTATATAATTGATTAATGTTTAATATGTTTTGAATATAACAAGATTTTTGCAATTCCGTCAATATTCCTTCAATAGTTGTTTTATCGCTTTAATTGAATTTATTGTGTCATACATAACAGATATCGATACTATCCAAAATATTATTTTATCTCGCAAACCGCACTTCAAATACACAGGAAGATTATCTTCACGCTGTTTGAATAAATGAAAAATAATTGTATAAATTACGTGATTGAATTCACTTAATTACCATATCATTTCATTTTACATCTATATGAAAATCATTTATACCTGCATCTTTGCTTGCTTTAATTTCAATTTCTGGAAAGCTTTATCGGATATTAAATGTGGACGTCCCGTGCAAATTGTTTGATGTAATAACACAATGTTCTTATAAGAAAGTTTCGATCGAGCAATCTACAAATATAATTTTAAATGGGCCAAATTATTTTATGAGTAATGAAAAATTAAGATCTTAGCAAATTTTGAGATTGTAATAATTAGAAAAAGTTTTTAAAAATATTTCCTTACAGATAACATTTTATGATATTTCTAATACTGTTATAATCTGTAACTCTATTCAATACATATTGTATATTTACATGATATCTGCTTTCCTTAGAAAAAATTGAAAGTTGTTAAAAAATAATTACTTTATTTAAATTTACGCGAATACGTTACATCCGGGTTGCAGAAAAGTGCAGTTTTCTTTTATTATTACGCAGTTGGCGAACCTGGAACATAGTTTACCTAGATGGTAGGAACGGAAACGCATGCGTACTCGTTTCGCGACGCAACAGTCGTAAACAACATTTTTTCCATTCAGTTTTGTAACGAGTTTACGCTTGTACGATAATTACAGCGTCCAGGCGGACGCACTACGATTTTTCCGCGTTTTCGTACGATTTCGCGGAAAAAATGGGGTCAAGCTTGCACGCTCAGTGTACGTGATACGTAAACTTATGGGTTTTTGGCATGCGGTGACGTCATCCGGATCGTTCTGGAAGAACCCTGCAGGACAATAATGGCGGGTATGTATTTACGTCGATGAAGGAAATATTGATTGCCATACGAGCGATATCATTGGAGACCTAATGTATTACGATTGTGCGGTTTCAGATTTGTATGCTAAATACAACTGCACCTATTGTCAAGAGGACATCTCGGGTTTACGTGTAAGATGTGTAGAATGCCCAGATTTCGACCTCTGTTTGCAGGTGAGACGAGTGAACGCTTGTTTCTTGATCACGTGTTCACGTCTCCTTTCCCCCCTCCTTGTTCCCCTCGCCCTACTCTTCGATCTCTGTCACATCTTCGTCTATCCTTCTAACTTTACTGGATTTTGCGTGTTGAGATTCCTTTTTTAGTCCCCACCCTTTTTTTGTCGACAAGTTATTCTGTAACTACTCTACTACTTCGTGTGTTGAATGAAACCGCTGATCGTAAGGAAACACGTGCATGCGTACGTGAATTCCGTTGATTTGATATAAAAACGTTATTTAATAACAAATATCATAATTGTTAGAAACGAAGTAATATGTTTCAATTTGACAGTGTTTTTCCGCTGGAGCTGAAATTGGTCCACATAAAAATGATCACTCTTATCAGTTTATGGTAAGTGTTAATTTATACCTTTACATATAAAAATTTACATTTTTGGTTTAAGAAAGAAATTAACAAATTGATTTTTATAGGATTCTGGTACCATTAGCATATTTAATGGTAGGGGAAACTGGACTGCTAGAGAACAACTTAGACTTTTGGATGCCATTGAACAATTTGGTTTTGGAAATTGGGAAGATATTAGCAAACATATCGAAACACGTACACCAGAAGGTAACATTGAAAAATTTATATTACATAATCTTGCACATTATTAATAATAGAAAGATAATTACATTTTAAAGTAATTAATAAATATATTTAAAGTTAATAATCAATTTTTCATTAGTAATATACTTTTATATTATAGAAGCGAAAGAAGAATATATTGCTAGATACCTTGATGGTAATATTGGAAAACATACATGGCCTCCTACTGAAAGCTACAAACCAAATCTTACTGATCAAACTAAGTCAGATCATGGACCTCTATCACCTGATCTCACATCTCGGTTACCACCTTTGGATATTACTCCAGAAGAAGCTGCACAGCTGGGATATATGCCACAACGAGATGATTTTGAAAGGGTATGTTTTAAGTTGTTAATTTTTTATGTTATGTATAGCATATTGCAACATGAAAGTTTTTGTTATAGGATTATAATCATGAAGCAGAGTCACTTGTTTCTTCATTATTCTTGAACCCAGCAGAAGATGATGACTTGGACATAGCGCTTAAACTTGCACAAGTTGATATGTATACCAATAATTTAAGAGAGAGAGCGCGACGAAAAAGAGTTGTACGTGATTACCAACTTGTTTCAGCATTTTTTGCTTCATCTAGAAAAGATAAAACAATGAGGAAAAAGCAGTCAAAAGAGGAAAGGTATGTTTATCTATGTAAAAAATATACTGCTTCATTTTATATCATATTTTAATTTTAAAAAATCTATAATTTACAGGGAATTTAGAGATAGAATGCGAGTTTTTGCACAGTTTTATACAGCACAGGAATATGAACAGTTTTTAACAAATCTCGAAAGGGAAAGA